AATATAATAACAGTAACAGTGATGATTTTGGTCACTGTGACGGGGTTCTTTGGCCTCCAAGAATCCAGGCTCATTGGGGTTACTGGTGTTGGTGATTTATTGTGCTCAAAAACTTAAAACAGCCTCAGCCTCCCTCCAGTTATCAGCAATGTAACAAAGAAATAGAAAACAGAAATGGCCGCTCTTCTTCCCACAGCCCTCATTAAATAGTTTAAGCCCCTCCCCTCAGGCTCTCTTATTTCTGATTTGTTCTCATTAATCAGTTTTGTCCATATATTACCTCCACAAACAATTGATGTACAAAAACAAATAATTTTTTTTTTACAACTTAATTCTTTTACACAGATTCATTGACTTATTCAATTACACCAAACTGGGTTTGAACCCAGCAAAGACGCAGCCAGACTGAAGATGACAAGTCCCCGTAGCATACACACATACACACACACACACACACACACACACACACACACACACACACACACACACACACACACACACACACACACGGCTAACCCCACTGAAATATTAAGTGTTCACCCTCAATACGCCAGCAGGTAACCAGGAACAGCTTGTGTGTTTTAAGTTAATGGAGCTACTGGTCTCAGCGCGAGTGTATTGGTCCTCACAAACACAGTATAACAGGAATGTGTGTGTGGCGCGCAAAGTTAGAGAGGTTGTTTTAAGCGACGAGGTGGATTCGTCACAGTCACAATAACCATGACATGAAATTTTCATATCCTACAACAGGGATGTTCTTCTGGCAAACGGGTAGATAAATAAGGATCTCACCGAATTTGGTGGAAGCTGCATCTCGCTCGTTACGTTCGCCATCGTCACTCTAATTGTCTGCACCTGCGCATTGGGTGCAGAAGCCTGTTAAAGGGCAGTATTTTCAGAGCCCCAAGACCATAAAGTTTTGAGACGCTGATTGGCCATTAAATTATTAAATTCACCTAGCAATAGTACATGATTGGCAGATTCTCTGCAAATGTGGGTCAGTCTGATCAGCGCCCCCAGAACAGAGACGGTAGGAGTCTGTCTGTGGAAATCCACAAATGAATGACAGTAGATAGGGAAATGTAATTTATATAATTTGTTTTGCTTATAGGTACACAGTCTAGAGAGTAAAACTGACATTTATGAGTTAATTTCTAAAAATATATTTTACGTTTCTCTCTTCTTATCAGGGAGGGCGGTGCCCCAGCGCCCCCTATGGGCCGGCCGCCACTGATTTCCAGGAAAGGCTAAATCTGCAGCCCAGGATAAATTGCAGGATAAATTAGAGGAGCGCAAAGATAGATTTAAGAAGTGGATTGCATTTCCAAACTCCACTACTATGGAGAGATATTTGTGCCATCGGTTTGAGCGCGCAGGAACCAATCCGAGCGCGCAGTGAGACAACACGCGCGCGCGCAAAACCGGTCTGGCGCGCGCTCAACTCTGAAAAACCCTCTCAACACACTGTTCTCGCGCTCAGTTTCATCTCTGCGCGTGCTCGAATCCGTCTCTGCTCGCGCTCGCTCGACCTGCTCTCTCTCCGCGCTCAACACCAGCTGTGCGCTCGGCTGTTTCTCCGCTCGCTCGACTCTCTGCGCTCGCAACTTCAGCAATGTATGTAAATGAACCATACCATCAGCCAATCACACCCAGCTTCTTTTCATCCAATGAAGCATTCCTTCCTTCTTCTTCTTCTTTTCTATCATGGCGGATCGCAAGCAACTTTAAGGTGCATACCGCCACCTACTGTTCATGAGTGTGTAGCAACATTGTTTTACATCTATTAAATTCTATTTTTTAATTTTGCATTCTGAAGATAACTAAATAATGCTTTCCTTAATCTATAAATATCCTTTATATTTCCTTTATTTCCCAATAATCCTTTAAGACTCCATTCTTGGCCTGTCATTTCAACTACTCTTCTCAATTTTTCCCTTTCAGGTTCATATGTTTTACAGTTCATTAATATGTAAGCATTCGTTCCAAATACTACATCCGGTTAGATGAAAAAAAATAAATAAATAAATAAAAACACAATCAGGAAAATCAAAAACTCTTACAGTTATTTTGTCAACATTCCTAAGATAGTACTATAAAATATCTTGAATTATCTCAAATAAACTTCAGTAAAACAGTTATTAGATCATTGCCTCATCCATCTCTTTTACCTGCTATTGACATGGATTTAAATTTGCTGTTTTAAAAGAAAAATAAGGAGGATATTTCAGGTTCAAGTACGGTTCAACAGTATATAGATAATGTTTTGGATCATATTGGCCTTACTCTTAGCTTTTGTGGCGGGTGTTTCTTCTTTTTGTTGTTTTTTATGGAGGTTGGCAAACAACAATTACCGCCACCAACTGAAAAATCCTGTTTATCAAATTATTCTTTTTAATATATATAATAAAGAATAACCCTCTTATTTAGAGTCCATCTGTAAAAGGTCTTCTAAATAATAATTGTTAAATTTCAGATCAGGTCTGCTGTCTGAATAATTGCGTTTAAATTAATATAACGGTCGCTGATCTAAAATCAGAGCAAACTAAATTTCTTAATGGAACGATTTCTTCAATCCATTGTAAGGCCAATATGATCCAAAACATTTCTCCTTTGTAGGCTGAATTCCATCACTGATTCTTTTACCCGATTTAAAAATAAATTCTGAAACTAAAACAAAACACCATTCCTAATATTGGAATATTTTTGAAGCATCCATAAAAAATTTAACATATCCATAATATTTTTTATCTATATATTGTTGAACCATACTGGAACCTGAAATATCCTCCTTAGTTTTCTTTTAAAACATCAAATTTAAATCCATGTCAATAGCAGGTAAAAGAGATGGATGAGGCAATGATCTAATAACTGTTTTACTGAAGTTTATTTGAGATAATTCAAGATATTTTATAGTAATATCTTCTGTCCATCAAATGGTTAGGAAACTGTAAGAGTTGTTTGATTTTCCTGATTGTGTTTTTATTTATTTATTTTTTTTTTTTTTTCATTTAACCGGATGTAGTATTTGGAACGAATGCTTACATATTAATGAACTGTAAAACATATGAACCTGAAAGGGAGAAATTGAGAAGAGTAGTTGAAATGACAGGCCAAGAATGGAGTCTTAAAGGATTATTGGGAAATAAAGGAAATATAAAGGATATTTATAGATTAAGGAAAGCATTATTTAGTTATCTTCAGAATGCAAAATTAAAAAATAGAATTTAATAGATGTAAAACAATGTTGCTACACACTCATGAACAGTAGGTGGCGGTATGCACCTTAAAGTTGCTTGCGATCCGCCATGATAGAAAAGAAGAAGAAGAAGGAAGGAATGCTTCATTGGATGAAAAGAAGCTGGGTGTGATTGGCTGATGGTATGGTTCATTTACATACATTGCTGAAGTTGCGAGCGCAGAGAGTCGAGCGAGCGGAGAAACAGCCGAGCGCACAGCTGGTGTTGAGCGCGGAGAGAGAGCAGGTCGAGCGAGCGCGAGCAGAGACGGATTCGAGCACGCGCAGAGATGAAACTGAGCGCGAGAACAGTGTGTTGAGAGGGTTTTTCAGAGTTGAGTGCGCGCCAGACCGGTTTTGCGCGCGCGCGTGTTGTCTCACTGCGCGCTCGGATTGGTTCCTGCGCGCTCAAACCGATGGCACAAATATCTCTCCATACACTACTGCTGCTAGTTTTGTTGCAAGGATGGAAAACCATCCACAGATCAAACAGGCAGCGCTTTGATGCAGGTATCTGAACTTTCTTCCATTATTTCCCCAAATCCTAAAAATATTAATCAGACCAAGGAACGATGGTGATGGAGGATGTGGGATTTCGGGGTTAGAGAGCTCAGCTCTGATGTCACTTCCTGCTTGGTTCCTCATGACTCAATAAACTCCTCCCAACAGAAACACGTCCACCATAGAAAGATTTCTTTATTGCGTTTCTATAATTTCATCATTGCAAGAAAACTTAAACCGCGCAGTGAAGTTGGTGAAGCGGCGATCTGAGCGTTCACTGTTCCTCCGTCACCTCATGCTACTATGTGACATTTGCTTCAGGATAAACATTTCATCATGAATGCTTATTATATATTAAGCCCATATAGTCCTTTTCTATATTGGGATAATACACTTAGAGCCCGTGTTGCTATACAAGGCTTATATAAGGCTTTTACATTTTTGAGGCTCCAGACAGGGAGAATAAACCCTTACTTTTCTCATTTAGTGGGGGAATAATAATTAGATAAACACAAGTCAAATGAAAATTTTGCCAAATAAAACAAAAAAATCGCAATTACAGTAGAGCCAGCAATACTTCACACGGCTATGTCAAGAGAGGGCTGCTGCAGACGGGCTAACGTTAGCCCTGGCTGTGGTTAGACCCGGAGGTCCACTGGTTGCCACGGTCCTCTCAACATCAGAACTTTTTTATAAATTACGCACTAAATCAGTAAATGGGCCATATAGTGACAATTCAAAGTATAATCATTTCGCCTCAAATGATCTTAAAACATACTTTTATAAATGGTTTAAGGAACCAAGCTCTTCAAGGATCATTTTTCAGAGGGTTGTGTGTAGAGATGACTTGTTTGACTCCAGATCCCCCATCTCTGTCTTATGGCAGTCAGGACACTCTGACTGTGGGGTCATCCAAAGAATAGCCTCCCCACACTATGACTGGCCCACCATGCTAAAGGTGCTAGAGGATGTTGCAGGCAACATAACATGATGTCTTCAGACTCTGTAACGTCTGTCACATAATAGTGAGTCAGTGTGAAGCTGCTTTCATCCATGAAGCGCACAGGACACCAATAGCAAATCTGCCAGTTTTGTGTTTCCTAGCAAATGGCGCAGTTTTATTGTTTTGTGCTCCCTTAATTTGTTTTTAATCACAGTACATAAACTTCACACAGAAAGGATAGAATCTGGGATTGAACCCAGGACCTTCCTGTTGGAAGGTAACGACACCTATAGATTAAACTGTAGCAGAGAAAAGTCTTACTTGATGTATGTGTTGGCGTTGCCTTCAGGAAAGACATAAGGGTGTTTCTTCCTGAACACGTGGCCCACACGACTGCAGGGCAGGATCTCCAAACTGCCGCCACACTGCCAAACTCGGAACGAGATCTCTGCAGACAAAAAGACACATTTTAATCCTATTCTGTCATGATTCGTTTTCTTAGATCTGGCTGACTCTATAAAAAAAAAGCTTACAAAAGTCTGTATTATGAAAGTCTGGAAATAATAATTTTTCAACTGAAAGTTAGAAAAGAGAGACATTATGTTGAGCTCTTCAACTATGCTAGGAGCCATGAGCAGCAGCATATACACAATGCATAATTACAATGCATAAAAACAATATTTTCGCCTAACAGAAAACTGGATCTATTGGAATCATTGAAGGCCAATGGGGAGATTTTATGTTGTGAAAACATACCAATAATTCTCACATTCAAAACACTAACTACACAAGAAAAAGGGATGCATATTCAAAATGGCTCCGCTGTGTCCCGTATCTCTGTTGCTCTTACTTATGAGTGTTAAGCTGGGGTTCAAATTCAATACCTTGGATAGTATTACAGTACCTTTACAAGCATAGAAAGGTTTACATTCTCTCTCGCTCCACATTTAAAGCAATATTAAAACTAAAAGATTTCGAATGATTTTCATATATGGGAGAGGTTGCACATGATCAATGCCCCATAACAGAATATTTCAGCACTGATCAGCACATAGAACACACATCCCTTCAGGCTCAAAGGAGGCTTCAGTTTTACTGATGCTTTTTGGATTGAATGCAAATGAAGTTAAAGCATTATTGTAGGTTTCAGGGATGACCTGAGGACCAACTGAGCCTAAACAATGAGATCAGCACATTACCACAAAAGACCATCTCAGAATACTGGTTGGCTGTTAGCTGCTGATGTGGCTTAAGTTAAGATATGCTAAGAGATTTCTATAGGAACTAATTTGTAAACAGGTGTCTGTTTAAAACGAGATCTTGGATCTCATTGAGACTGTCTGTATAAATAAAGGTTAAATTGATAAGAAAATGTTTTTGTTTTTATTATTCTAGAATATCTTTATGTAATCTAAGATCAAAATATTGAATAATTAATTGATTAGTCCTGTAGTGGAGAAATCAATCACTGAACAATCTCAAAACAGCAATATTTATAAAACCTTTAACCAGTTTGTAAAAACACCGAAGGGAGGAACTAAAAAGGCATTTTAGCATTAAGGTCCATCTAAGAGTACAAAAAATATGTATATTTAAAAAAATAAGAAATAAAAAAAAAAACGACCTTTTAAATCTGGACTGAAAAAGTCAACTGTTTAGAGATTCTTTAAAACAAAGTTTGCGTGGGTTGTTTTTGTTTTTTTGTTTTTCTCTTCCTCCACCACCAGGTGGTGCCCTGTCCTCGTTGGTCCTCCTGCACACCTGCGGCTGGTTGACTTATCACTGAGGAGTATTTGAGCAGTGGACTGTCACTACCTCGAGGCCAGAGTGTTTGCCAGTTTTGGGTACTCTAGCCAAGCTGAGATCAGCTGAGTCTAACTTGAGCTTTGTTTCTCTGAGTCTAATATTGTTTTTGTCTTTGTTCTTCGGCAGAAATCCTTCCTGCAGACTGGATGCTTGGGCTTCTACCCCCTGGAAGGATTGTTTGTTCACAAACTGAGCAGGGGAAAAACTTCTACACGTACCATTCAAGTTCCCACAGAAATCCAAGTGGCAGTCCGCTCCATTGCTCCTCACGGTCTAACCAAGTCCAACCTGGAGTGGAAAGCTAATTCCCGTTAATGTGAGTCCCGTTTCCGCTGTTTTCAAGAACTCAGTCCAAATTCCTACGGAACCTGAACCAACCCCTGTGAACTTCCCTTCTTACTTCCAGTTCTGGTTCACCAGCTCTCTGAGTTCCAGAATCCATCTGGAATTGCTTGCTTCAATAAACCTGTTAAACTTTTTCTCCTGGTTCTCTGAGTGGTTTACTGCATGTGGGTCAGAACTCTTAAAAACATCATGACATTCTGGTTCATTAAAGTTTTCCAAAGAATTCCCAGTGTTCCGAAAAATATTTCAAAATATTTAGCCTCCTCTGTCATTTTGAAACAAATATTGCGAATGTTCCTGTCTGTATTGTTACAGTCTATGAGAATCTGTATCTATCGACACTATGGGGGCAGCCATGATGGATCACATACGTAAGGGGTCGTAGTATATCAACATGAAAATATAAAACCCTAATTTAAAGAAAACTCTTCTTTGATGTCAGTTATGTTTTCCTAAAGATCTGAAATGAAAAGATGGAAAATAAATAAAACCCTTAATATAGAACAAAAAAAAATAAGCTATTAGAAACTTGGACTTAATTGAAGGAGTGAATGGGAGGCTTTAAATCCATAGAGATAAGTTAGGGGGACTTAGACTGGATTATCTTCATGCTAATCTGTTTTATCTAAAAAGAACTTTGCGATCTAGATGTCAGAAGAGAAAATTTTAAATTAAAGTTAGAAGAATCCTGTTAGTTATTTGCTACTTAGCCTCTTTTGTTGGATATATTGGTGGCTGTTTTCTATCTTTCTCTGATTGTGAAGTAGATCAAGCCTTCCTGAATATTTGATGATTTGCTTACAGACTCTGATGAATTTAGCTTTTTCTGGTGCTCATTCATCATTTCATCAACACTCTGCTTCCATGGCCTCCTTAAACGTTGGCTGCATCCCTGTTCTAAATGCAGCAGCAGCTCATGTACAACATACAACTGACTTTGCTGTTTCAAAACAATGTTTGTGCGCACATTAATTCATAAAGCGTCTGTGGGTGAGTTCAGGCCGGGAGGGTGAACAAGTGTCCCCAAACGAACGGAAGCTGGGAACTCTGAAAGTTTTAAGCCAAGAAAAGAAGGAGTGCTGCAGAGGAAGTGGAAATTAGAGCACGGGCCGAGTTTGATGAGTCGGAGGCAGGCATGGAAGAAGAGATGAAACACCAGACAGAACAAAGGAGAACGAGAGGAGTCAGCAAGATGGGGAGATAACTGACACAGAGCGGGGAGACTGACAGAGACATGACAGAGAGCAAATGAGAGTGTGTGCCAGCGAGGGAGGAAAACAGGCTAATAGTGTTTCACTGATCTGAGAAAAGCAGCAGCGAAGAAGCCAGACAGCTCCAACACACACAGATGGTGGACTCAGAACGACTGGAGGCAGGTCGCAGGAGGAGAGCCAGATGTTACTGCGAGAAGAATGTCTGTTCCTGCCTTTTATCAGATGAGGGGAAAGTTCACCTTCAACTATCTGATACTGAAGGACTTCTGCATTCTTAGCACTAAACTAATAAACTTAATCACTCTGCTTACGTCACATAGTTCCTTACATTTTATGGCTGATGTTCCTTTAATCCCAGTAACATACTGTCTTGTTATTTGTTTCTAAAATCTTAGAGTGGTTTAATGAGGAAAGAAGAAATTTTGAAGAAATAATCCAAAATATATCTTTTTATTTTTCTAAATATATATGGACAATATTAAGAGAAACGTTTCTCTAATGTTTGCAAGCAAATTACATTGTAAATAAGAATCAAATAAAGGTAATACAGATATGAAACTTTGAAGAAATAAATTTGTTAATCAAAAAAAGGGTTTCGAGAGTAACTTTGGTGTTTTCTCTGAAAAAAGAAAAAAACAAACTACCTAGAAAAAACAAAACCCTTCATGTCAGATTTGGCTTACATTAAAATAAGTAGATTCTATAAACCCTGTATTTTATTTCAAGGAAAAGAAAAAGTTATTTGCACAAATTGTCTTAACTTCTAGTAACTTGTCTAGAGAGAAGAAGTCTGAGGGCCAAAGCTAAACAGTTCAGCAACAGTTTATAAACATTCATAGTTCACGCGCTAATTAATATTATTATAATAATTAGTAGCAAGAAGGTTCTGGGTTCGATTCCTGGCCCAGGGTCTTTCTGCATGGAGTTTGGATGTTCTCCCTGAGAATGCGTGGGTTCTCTCTGGGTACTCCGGCTTCCTCCCACAGTCCAAAAACATGACTGTAAGGTTAATTGGCTTATCTAAAATTGTCCTTAGGTGTGAGTGTGTGCCTTAATGGTTGTTTGTCCTGTGTGTTCCTGTGTTGCCTTGCGATGGACTGGCGACCTGTCCAGGGTGTACCCCGCCTCTCGCCCATTGACTGCTGGAGATAGGCACCAGCACCCCTCGCGACCCCAATTGGGACAAGCGTGTAAGATAATGGATGGATGGATGGATGGATGGATGGATGGATGGATGGATGGATGGATGGATGGATGGATATAATAATTAGTAACTGCAGAGCATAACCATGTTGCTTCTATAAGAGTTATTATATTGGCTGCCAAAGGGTATAAACTTCCATCCTTGCAGGTAAAACAGAAACATGTCTACAGTATACAGTGCCATATATTTATATATTGATCATAAACTGATCAATACTTTAAAGGTGAAACAGTAAAATGATCAGTATTAAAAAAACAAACAAAAAAACCCAAAGAAAATTGAGCCAAACCATATTTTGTTCATTTTTGTTTACATATTATTGTTACTGTTGATAGTTAATCTTTTAACATCATCAGATCTTGTTAATAAATCCTGTTTGACTCCTTTCTGCTGCGCTACTGGTCCCAGTCAGAGACCCTGGAAGCCAAAGCCTGCAGGTTAAAACAGCATCTAAAGGTCAAACTGGTAATATGGAGTCTCTATGTTGAAGCACAGGAACCCCTTTGGTCAAAGAAATCTAAAAAGTTTGACCTACTGGATCAATCTATGCACAGGTTCGTTAACAGGAACCTCTGAGCTCTGGAAAATGAAACAGAAACTGCCTAAAAAGGCAAAAATCTAAAAACCTATTTGAAAGCAACATTTTATGATGAAGACACTGTGACTCACGGTGTGTCAGGGTTTATCCTCATTTGTTTGATGGAGTTATTTGCTAACTAAAATAGTAATTATTACAGCTGAATAATATTCAAATGCTCCGAAACAGATGGTATGAAGGGGGTTTGGCGGAGATGGGTAGTGGATAAACTTTCACAAGTGCACCTCGGTCTGCCTCAGCTTACAGACAGCCAGAGAACATTCTTCTGTTGCTGATATATTGGTTATCAATGTCTTCTCAGATAAACTTCTTCAGGTTAACAAATTCTTTTTTCACAGTAATAAGACTAAAAGCCTGATGAAGAAGGGGTTAAGCTATCAGAGCCTATTTACGAACGCCACAGTCCTCATTTCAGGTTCCAGTCCTGAAACATTGACCTTTACCGCACATCTTCCTCCCGTCTCTTCGTCCCATTCCTCTCTGCATGCTCTGAAAATATTATTATACCCAAAAAGGTCACAAGAAGCTAAAGAAAACTTAAAAAAAAATAAATCAAATGTTTTTATTCAGTTGTCTGTTTCTTCTTCTGCAAGAAGAAATAACCTCATTATTGCCTAAAGAAACGTCTTAATCTGATTCTTTTCCAAATGATTGATATTGTCGGCGTTCCTCCAGCACCATCATTGATGTAACCATCAGAAAGACAAGTTACATCAAGCGCTCACATATCAAAGCCCAATAAAAGGTCACTTACAGTGCTCCAGACTGATGATGTCATCGATGTAAGTGATGTAATCCTCTAATATGTTTCAACATCTACTTTTCCCATCGAGCATGCAACTATGTGTCAGGTCTAAGCACCTAAAATCATACATAAATGCAGGGAAAGAAAGAAGGCACAGAGACAATTAATTTAGTTTACTCGCGTGGAGAGTTGGAAGAGACTGCAGAGTTTACAAGTCTCAACCCACTCTGCAGTTCCAGCGTTCTCCTGGCTATTTATTGGAATCAGTGGTCCCATCTGAGACTACACAAATCTCAGGGTTCAGTCAAAGTTTAAGTTGTTGAAGCTGTTCACCAAAGTTCAGCAGGTCGAATGCTGCTCGTAGATCAACCACAACCTACCCAAAAGCAAATCTACAAATCACAGTACACTTCAGAAAAGATGGCTATAAACACATGCACATAGCACACAGCTTTATGCATGATAACACTACACAGATACATTTATATACAATTATTCTAACATTATACTTGAGTTTATAAAAAATTGTTCATTCGTGTTACACTTTTACACAGAAACAAATAGTCCTTTTCTAACTCTTGCTCCAGTTTGTGTTTTGGTCTGGACTTTGACTCTAACACAATGATGTACTTTGTTAAAAATTATTTTGTGGAACTAGAAAATGTGAGCAACACTTTACCGTCGCCAACATCACATTGGAAGAGCAAAGGCTGCATTCTGGAAGTGCAAAGAACTGATGAGAAACAACCTTCCACTGAAACTCAAAAAGAAAATGCTCAAAAGCCTAGTGCTCTCACTAGTCCGCTACGGCTCCGAGTGTTTTGCCCTGACGAAGCAGACCAAGAAGAGAATCACGTCCTTCGAGCTTCCATGCTACCGGCGCACTCTCAAAAACAGTTTGATGGAGATGTTACGCAACAAGAAAGTGCTACAAAGAATGGGAGCAGAAAGACCGACTCTGCTAGACAAGATCATCAAAAGAAAGTTCCTGTACTTTGGTCATGTCAGCGGGGCCTAATCTGGTCTGGACTTGAAAATGATCGTGGCTCAAGGACATGCCAAACAGGGACGAGGCTGATAACACACAACATGGATAGACGAGACAGAAGTGATCACAGGGGAGAAGGACGTAAAGAGGAACATGTCGAAGGCCGAGAACAAGGAAGAATGGCTCGATGCATTGGAGACCCCCGATCAAAACCGGTCAGGGTGAAGAGTAAGAGTAGTCAAATGATTTCATGTTAACTCTGGATGTTTGTTTCAGGTGGTTTCCCTGCTGGAAGTCTGACATCTTCTGAAGCCTTCATCGGGTGTAATTTGCAGAGCTGCACTGAATTTACCTCATTTCATCTTCTAATTACCTCTTAAAGCGTTAGTTATATGTGGCATGATTTGTTAAAAAATAAATAACTTAACAGCAATGCATCCTACCCTCATCTATGGTCATGAACTCTGGGTCATGACCGAAAGAACGAGATCGTGGATACAAGCGGCCGAAATGGGTTTCCTCCGTAGGGTGGCTGGGCTCTCCCTTAGAGATAGGGTGAGAAGCTCGGTCATCCGAGAGGACTCGGAGTAGAGCCGCTGCTCCTCCACGTCGAGAGGAGCCAGTTGAGGTGGCTCGGGCATCTGGTTAGGATGCCTGGACGCCTCCCTGGTGAGGTGTTCCGGGCACGTCCCTCCGGGGGGAAGACCCAGGACACGCTGGAGAGACAATGTTTCTCGGCTGGCCTGGGAACGCCTTGGGGTTCCTCCTGAGGGGCTAGAAGAAGTGGCTGGGGAGAGGGAAGTCTGGCCTCCCTTCTTAAGCTGCTGCCCCCGCGACCCGACCCCGGATAAGCGGAGGAAGATGGATGGATGGTAATGCATCCTTTTCCCTTAAAATCTATTAATGTTCCAAAACGCAACAGATTGTGACTGACTGTATTTTCGTTATTTTTTTCTTATCCAAGTGCGATCACTCACCAAAGTTTTCTCCACCCCAGATGTCCATTGCCGTGTCGTATTTCCCCAGATGATTGAACCAGGACCTGTCAATCACAAAAAGCCCGCCTGCGATGATCGGGGTCCTGTTGGGTAAAAGCAAAAGGATTTGAAAATTGACCAAAAAGGAAATAGATTTGAAAAATACAGATAATTTAAAAATCATCCCAAAAAGAAATGCTGCATTTTGTATAATATTTAATCTAATAAAAACTAAACTATCTTCAGTTATTTTGCAAATAGTATTTTTTTTTTATCAGAATAAATCAACTCTGTTTGCTGTTTACAGACACACAAACAAACACAGATTCAAACAAACCCAGTGAATCAGGAGCTGGGCAGAGTGACAAGCTGAAGGCCAACACACGCCATCAAATAGCCTCTCTTTATTAACAATTATCCAGCAAACGGCCCTCCGTGTAGCTCTGTGTGTGTCCGCACTGACATAAAAACCTTTAACAGCCTCCGTTTGTCCTTGTGTGTTTAGAGGAATGTGACTGTATGAGTGCCTGAGTCTGAGGCTGCAGAAAGAGGGACATTAAATGATGCAATATAACTTGCCGAGCACATTAAATAAGACAGAATTTGTGGGTGTTTCCATTTGTCCTCTCTATTAATAAGAGCTGATAAAGAAAGGATGCAATATATTAGGAGTTTCAAGGCTGATCAGACATCACTTAAAGCAAAGGGGTTGTTATTTGAACTTACAGAGACAACCTGAAGACTGCAATAACTGCTACAATCTACTTGTTTCTACACAAGAAAAAACAGGGTGGTAACTCCAGACGTGCACCGGCCAGGATTAAACACCTTAAATTAATATGTTGGTAGGATTTGACCTATAGTTTTAAATCTGCAGTTTATCAAACAGAAAGCATTGTTTTTATGAAGAAATGTGGCGGCAGCATCATGGTTTGGGGTAGCTTCACCAGCCAGACTGACTTCCTGCATATAAATCCTTTATGAAACGAGGAGGTACAGCCCAATTTCACAGGTGGGAAAAATAAGGTCAACAAATAACAGGCTATATTATTCAGATAACTACGGATATGATGAATAATAACATTAATTGAACTTTATTGATCTCAGATTGGAGAAAATTACCTCTGCATTTAACCCATCCCCTTCAGGAGCAGTGTGGGGTTAAGGGTCTTGCTCAGAAACCTAGAGTGGCTGTCTGTGGGATTGGGGCTCGAACCCAGAACCTCAGGATTCCAAACTATATGCCCTAACCATTAAGCTTCCACATCCGCAAAGAAAAGAAAATCAAAAGTAGGGAGCAGATGTTTAGATGTTCCCAGACAGTCAGTAGCTCAGCTCAGTCTCTGCAGTTTGATTGCATCTGGAACTGAAATAAGCTGCTGGCATCCAGGTGAAGATAACAAAGTCATAGTGAACAAGTTATGGTCCAAATTAGTCGCATCAGTTTAGCACTAATAAATAAACACTTTACTTCCTGTATAACTGAGTTTGATTCAGAATCCAGAGCAGCAGTTGCTCGTCTCCCAGATGAAAAAGAATGATGAGTAATATTGTCTGGATCCTCTTGTTGATAATTAGCCCTGTCTAAGTTTGCCAAGGTCAGTGCAGCAATAACAGGTCAAAGCAAGGAGTTGCTGGGTTTTACTGATTGCTGCGATCAAGACATGCATCATTTGTCATCTACACAACAGCAGGACACTTCAGCGGCATAAATAGCCAGAGCTGTCACAGAAAATATGAATGATACTATAATTTATTTCGTAGCTGTGTCAGATTGTAGATTTTTTTGACAGAGTCATCTTTCTTTTCTGTATTTTTCTGACTTACAATCTTTAAGAACTTCCTAAAAACATTTTTTTAAAGTTATATATAATGTGTTTTTTTTCCTTGGCTGTATTATGACTTTATATCAGCTTGAAAGTCTTGATCAAACATATAAACTGTGTTCATCCATATTTCTAAAGATTGAGGCAAAGATTGCAGAGACATACAGGTGCTGGTCATAAAATTAGAATATCATGAAAAAGTAGATTGATTTCAGTAATTCCATTTAAAAAGTGAAACTTGTATATTATATTCATACATTACATACAAACTCATATATTTCAGATGTTTATTTTGTTTAATTTTGATGATTACAAATGACAACAAATGAAAATCTCAAATTCATCATATCAGAAAATTAGAATATTGTGAAAAGGTTCAAAATTGATGGCCCCTGGTGCCACACTCTAATCAGCTAATTAACTCAAACCACCTGCAAAAGCCTTTAAATGGTCTTTCAGTCTAGTTCTATAGGCTACACAATCATGGGGAAGACTGCTGACTTGACAGTTGTCCAAAAGACGACCATCGACACCTTGCACAAGGAGGGCAAGACACAAAAGGTCATCGCTAAAGAGGCTGGCTGTTCACAGAGCTCAGTGTCCAAGCACATTAATAGAGAGGCGAAGGGAAGGAAAAGATGTGGTCGAAAAAAGTGTACAAGCAAGAGAGATAACCGCACCCTGGAGAGGATTGTGAAACAAAACCCCTTCAAAAATGTGGGGGAGATTCACAAAGAGTGGACTGCAGCTGGAGTGAGTGCTTCAAGAACCACCACACACAGACGTATGAAAGACATGGGTTTCTGCTGTCGCATTCCTTGTGTCAAGCCACTCTTGAACCACAGACAGCGTCAGAAGCGTCTTGCCTGGGCTAAAGAGAAACAGGACTGGACTGCTGGTGAGTGGTCCAAAGTCATGTTCTCTGATGAAAGTAAATTTTGCATTTCCTTTGGAAATCAAGGTCCCAGAGTCTGGAGGAAAAGAAGAGAGGCACTTCATCCACGTTGCTTGAAGTCCAGTGTAAAGTTTCCACAGTCAGTGATGGTTTGGGGTGCCATGTCATCTGCTGGTGTTGGTCCATTGTGTTTTCTGAGGTCCAGGGTCAACGCAGCCACATACCAGGAAGTTTTAGAGCACTTCATGCTTCCTGCAGCTGACCAACTTTTTGGAGATGCAGATTTCATTTTCCAACAGGACTTGGCACCTGCACACAGTGCCAAAGCTACCAGTACCTGGTTGAAGGACCATGGTATCCCTGTTCTTAATTGGCCAGCAAACTCTCCTGACCTTAACCCCATAGAAAATCTATGGGGTATTGTGAAGAAGAAGATGCAATACACCAGACCCAACAATTCAGAAGAGCTAAAAGCCACTATTAGAGCAACCTGGGCTATCATAACACCTGAGCAGTGCCACAGACTGATCGACTCCATGCCACGCCGCATTGCTGCAGTAATACAGGCCAAAGGAGGCCCAACTAAATACTGAGTGCTGTACATGCTCATACTTTTCATGTTCATACTTTTCAGTTGGCCAACATTTCTATAAATCCTTTGTTTTTATTGGTCTTCAGTAATATTCTAATTTTCTGATATGATGAATTTGAGATTTTCATTTGTTGTCATTTGTAATCATCAAAATTAAACAAAATAAACATCTGAAATATATGAGTTTGTATGTAATGTATGAATATAATATACAAGTTTCACTTTTTAAATGGAATTACTGAAATCAATCTACTTTTTCATGATATTCTAATTTTATGACCAGCACCTGTATGCAGATTAGGATCTGTGGAATCCCTGAAAGGCAAGTGAAAAATAAAATATACAGACCTAAATATTTTTTTTTTCTTGTTCAACCCTAAAAGTAAAAAAAAAGAAAAACTATGCAGACTATAATATTTAAATTTAGTTTCTCAGCAAAAAAAAAAAAACATAAAAAAATACAAAACTAATTTTTAGCTGCAAATATTTCCAATTAACCAACATCTCACAAAAACGAAAAGAAAAACTTTTCAATTGTTAGTTTTCCTAGTTAAATATTTTTCTGTTTACCAAAATGTTACAAAGAAATAATTTAGTAACAAATACTGGACATTCATTTTTTGCCAATAGTTTTTAGATTTTTTTATTTTTTTTCCCCAAAAACCTCACAATAAATAAAAAAATATATATATCTTGGGTAATTGTGGTCATTTTTTTTTGCTCAACTAAAACCTTCACAAAACAAAAAACAAAAAAAAAAAAACATTATAACAATAACTTATTAAATTGAGGTTCTCAGTTATATTTTACTGTAAATCAACTAGAAGTATTTTTTTTTTTACACAGACTGCTGAAAGTGATTTATCAGAGAACATAAAGGTTATTACACATAAACAGAAGTAATTACACGTTTCTGGTAAAGAAAATACTGTTGAAATGAAATCTAAAAAGAACAATTGTTGAGAAATATGGTTAAAATCTTTTATCTTCAAAGTTTTCCAGGCTAAGGACCCCCAAACTGATGGAGAGATGGAGCGGGGACCCCCTAATTTTATATATTGTATGAAATTGTGTTATATTAAACTGGTTCTATAGTCACTCTATTACAGATGGAGTCATGTAATGGAACTAATTTCTCCCTGGGATTATTAAAGTATTTCTGATTCCTGGTTGATGGGACAGGTGTTGTGAATGAAACGGTGCCCAGCTTGAAAGAGCTCCTGTGTGTCGCTGAATGTGAGCATTGATGACTGAAAGACATCTTCTGCCTCCATTTATTTGTTTACTACTGTCTGTTGAATTCATGTTAATGTGTATTTGAAGATATTTCAATTAGTGGAAAAAATTGCAGGGGGAATATAAAAAAAAGGTTGAGGTTACAGCTATCCTATACCTGTTTGACCTATTTTCTCTGGTCCATTTGTCATTTATGTTGAAGACTATCTAAAAATATAAGTCATGTTTTTAGATATTTTATGCGTCAAATCTTGATATTCTTTCTCTGACTTTTTGAAGAACTAAAAAAATCTATAGTCTATGTTTCTGTTCTTACTATTAAACTTATTGGAACAACAATAACAAAACATTGTTTATATAATCTTCTAATTTCCACTCTTTTGTCAGATATTTGACTTATTTTTACTCAGAAACGCAGATCTGCATTGATGACTGAAAGACATCTTCTGCCTCCATTTATCTGTTTACTACAGTGTGTTGAATTAATGTTAATGTGGATTTAAAGACATTTCAATTAGTGGAAAATATTGCAGGGGGGAATGTAAGTCTAATTAACCAAAACTTTGCGACCCCCATGCAGTACATGGACCCCCTGTTGAAGACCTCTGGTCTAGACTAACTGCTGCATATTTTCTCTAGTTGTGCAGAAGTCTTGGCAATGTTTGTTAACCCTTTGCAAACAAATAAATGTCTTTAACTTCCTTTTTTACTGTTTTTTTTTTATATTTTACATGACAGTATCCTTTTTGATATATTTAAGCTATCAGGGAGTTTCTGTTCCATTGACGATCATATCTGGTGGTCAGGTAATGATCAGGGCGTGTTTTTTTGTTGTTCACCTATATTTATACAGGTTTTCTCATTGAGATAGAAGATCTCATTCACAAGGGAAACATGTTTTGATAAAAATAAACAAAACTGCAACAAAGTAAGTTTTTGACAAAAAGAGAGTTTTTACCCAAGGACATTTTTCTTTTTAAAGAGGTAGCTCAAACACAGGTTATTATTGATTAAACAAGAAGAGAATAAGTCTTTGCCAGAGGGCAGCGCTATTGTTTTGTTTTGTTTTTTTGTTTTCTGCACATGAATTAAATCATAAATTGGTCTACTAAAAATCATCTTTATTCAATACAAAATTTGTTAAATATTTTGAAGCATTAAAGTTTGACAAATAGACAACAAAAAAAATACATCAGTAGGAAAGCCTTTTGACAGTACTGTTAGTTTCGACCATTAAAAAAGCAATATAACACAACAGAAAAAGTTTATTAGGATCTAATTTTCTGTTTATCTCTTATAGTTGAAGAGTAGCTTTGATGAAAAATACAGAACACTCATCTTCCTGAGTAGGAATTTCTCAATCACTGCTAAATAAATACTAGTTTGTCCGGCTTTAACAGGTAGACTTGGATGATAAGCTTCTGCTGCTCGAACTGCTTGAAGGTGTTAGACACACATTGATTCTGCTGAGTTCACGTTCAAAAAAATAAGTGATTAAAATGTTCACATAAGAACCAAAACTTAAACCAACAGAAGAAGGTGATTATTCATAACAGGAAGAAGGGAATGCCAAAATTAACCGTTGGACGTTTAAAATCTGACTGCGACACGGAGATAAATTCTGTTTAGAACAACCTGGTGTCATGCCTTTTATGTGCAGAGGTTTAGTTTCTTTTAGCTGTGTGAGAAGTCTAATCCATAAATACCAAACCTAAGCTCAGATCAGATTAGATCAGCTATTAACTGTGTTCAATTAAATTAAATTCAGTTTATTTCTATAGCGCCAATTTACAACACGTAATCTCAAGGCACATTAAAATTGATTCAAAGTTTTCTATCAAAGGAAAACCAGTCGATTGCATCGACTCGTTGACTCAAATGCAATCCCTCACACTAAGCATGCTTGTAGCGACAGTGGAGAGGAAAAACTCCCTTTTATCAGGAAGAAACCTCCACCAGAATCAGGCTCATTGTGAGCGGCCATCTGCCGATGCCGACTGGGGTTCAAGGAGACAAAAGCAGAGATCGTTTTTGCAGTGTAGGACCTGCTACGCCTGGCTAGCTAGGCAGAGCATGTGTGGATCCAATGACTGACCAGTCACTGGGGTTCAAGGAGACAGAAGCAGAGATACAATAGGCAATTGTAAAAGGCGGCCCCGTATCATACCGTTTCAGGTCCTGACTAGTCATTAGTTGGACTGTAATTCCCAGAAGAAACACCCTTTCTGAAAAATTCATTCATATAGTGTCAAGACTGAAAGTGTTTGCATTACTTGATCGGCTGAGTTGGGTCGGTCCGACGCGCCTTTTGCTCAGGTGATAACTGCTCCCACTTAAAATGGAGACTCCAGTCAAACCCTAAGCAATGAAAACAAAGAAACAGCTGCTTAAATACAACATTTTGAATAAGTAAAAGGTAATGTTAATGTATCATAATAAGACCGATAAACATGTTACATTAGAGATTCCTTTAGTAGATGTTATAAGAAGTGAAAAGCTGATGAAAGAGAAACCAATTTATCCAACCAGAATGTAAAATACAGTTATTTGAAGAACTTGTTTAAAAGTAAAAGCCTCTTGTACAGACACATTTCTGCATTTAAAGGCTTTGGTGGCAGTAAACTCTCAAATTTATTTTGATTAAATTTAGGTGGAGGAATTTTAAAAGGAATTTATTAAGGTTGAGGGTTAGTCGCTTAGAATAACATCATATTCTAAGCTTAAAAAAGAAAAAAAAAATACCAGAAATGGAAAAGCAAATCATAAAAACTGAAAGAAATCCTTACTTACAAAGACATGTTGAATTAACCTCTAGAGCACAAAGTTTCTACACTTCTCAGAGAGTTGGGAGAACATAAAAGAACAATTTGTAGTCTAATATGAAGGTTTATGATGACCAGAGTCTATGAAGTTCAAGCCAACCACCAATACTGAATCACAGTTAGAGCCCAGTACTTTTTTTAACCACTGAAGGCATCCTTCTAACAGTAAAACCCACTGAATTCAAGCATGACGCAGTTTGTTATATCCTTGTATGTCATAAAACCATTTATTGGGTTCAAATTGGTGATTGACATTTTTAATAATAGGCTAAATTATAAAACGGGTGTTTCCCATTCTTAAATTTGATTGGCTGATCTGTTCCATTGCTGTTATAAAATACAATGTAATCAGCATTTAGACCCAATAAGACCGCAGCACAAATATCCCTACACTAGGGTCAACAGCGCAGCGCCACCGAGAGCATCTCTAGATATCACAGCCGGGCAAGGCAGCACAAAAACTTCACAATGCTGTTTACCAAAATCGATATCTGCAAATCACAGTATTAAAGGTTTTATGCAAAAAAATCCATAAAACCTTTATAACTGTTGTCTCCTGAAAAATGAGATTGTATCATTATCATTATCATCATTGTAAAAATAGGAGAGGATTGTGATTGGCTTTTATAAACAGCCATTTGTTAGGAATCCAGTTTGTGTGGTCTGTTTGTGTGTTTCCTTCTCTCCACCACCAGGTGGTGCCCTGTCCTCATTGGGCCTCCCTGCACACCTGCGGCTCATTGGACCATTACTGGAGGAGTATTTGGGCAGTGGGCTGTCACTACCTCGGTGCCAGAGTGTTTGCCAGTTTTGGGTACTCTAGCCAAGCTGAGATTAGCGGAGTCTAACCTAGCACTGTTTCTCTGAGTCTAATGAGTTTTTTGTCTTTGCTCTTCGGTAGGAATAACTGAGTTTACACAGAGCAGGGGAAAACCTCCACATGATCCGTTCAAGTTCCCTTCGGAAATCCAAGTCACAGTCTGCTCCATTATTCCTCCGGCTCCAACGTATGTGTACCTGTCTGCTCTCCAATGAGTTCCCTCTTTTCTGTATAACCCCACACAGACTGGAATCAAGGATTGACAAGAGCCCCCTCAAACGTGAGTCCCTCTCTTGCAAAATTCAAACCGCAGTCTCGATTCACACCGTCCCTGAACTGATCTCTGTGATCTTCCCTTCTGACTTTCCACTTCCGGTTCACCAGTTCACTGAGTTCCAGATCCAACCCCTCTTCTCATTCCAACAAATAAATCTGTTGAACTTTTCTCTTTGGTTCTCTGAGTGGTTACTCTGCAGCTGGGTCAGATTCGTTAAACCGATCATGACACCATTTTAATTTTGTTCTAGAAGGACTGTTTCATTTTGTTGTGTGGGGATATATGTATTTTTAATTTATTTAATTTGCAATATGTAGGTAGGTAACTGTTTCAAAAAGGAAACATCAAAAATGACACTTGAGTTCCTTGATCTTCATCCTTATTTAGTAAAAGTTGAGGATTATCTAATCTCACATTTTTGGAATCTGACACAAAACATTTGTGTTTTCATCTTCAGTTGGAGAAAATTCAGATCCATCCACTCACTGCTGTGGTGGACACATTAATTCAGAGACTATAATGGCCTTTGGAACTGTGGTGATGGCGAAACATATCTTGCTGGCATATGCATTGTAACAGTTAGGTCAATATTACAGAAAAAAGAGCAGTGAAGTGAGTTGCACGTTTTAAATATCCAATAAATTTAGTTACATTTCATGATTGTGTCCCAAAAATTGTTGATTCTTCACAAAAAAATACATTTGCATATCTTTGTGTTTGAAGCTTCAAATGTGGCAAAAATTTGAAAAGTTATATATATATCCATCTTCTAAACTTCTTTATGTTAGGAGTCAACTTTTTATCTACAGTTAAAACCCCTTTATGAAATCAACTCTGACCACTGACCACTTTCTACATCGCTGAAATGGCAGCTGGAGACGACAATTATCACCTTTGACTGGCATTGATTGCAGTTACCAAGTGCAGAGGACAAAGATAAGGCAGACTAATAGCAGGAGAGATGAACTATAAAGCTTTTACAGGTGCTGGTCATAAAATTAGAATATCATGAAAAAGTAGATTGATTTCAGTAATTCCATTTAAAAAGTGAAACTTGTATATTATATTCATACATTACATACAAACTCATATATTTCAGATGTTTATTTTGTTTAATTTTGATGATTACAAATGACAACAAATGAAAATCTCAAATTCATCATATCAGAAAATTAGAATATTACTGAAGACCAATAAAAACAAAGGATTTATAGAAATGTTGGCCAACTGAAAAGTATGAACATGAAAAGTATGAGCATGTACAGCACTCAGTATTTAGTTGGGCCTCCTTTGGCCTGTATTACTGCAGCAATGCGGCGTGGCATGGAGTCGATCAGTCTGTGGCACTGCTCAGGTGTTATGATAGCCCAGGTTGCTCTAATAGTGGCTTTTAGCTCTTCTGAATTGTTGGGTCTGGTGTATTGCATCTTCTTCTTCACAATACCCCATAGATTTTCTATGGGGTTAAGGTCAGGAGAGTTTGCTGGCCAATTAAGAACAGGGATACCATGGTCCTTCAACCAGGTACTGGTAGCTTTGGCACTGTGTGCAGGTGCCAAGTCCTGTCGGAAAATGAAATCTGCATCTCCAAAAAGTTGGTCAGCTGCAGGAAGCATGAAGTGCTCTAAAACTTCCTGGTATGTGGCTGCGTTGACCCTGGACCTCAGAAAACACAATGGACCAACACCAGCAGATGACATGGCACCCCAAACCATCACTGACTGTGGAAACTTTACACTGGACTTCAAGCAACGTGGATGAAGTGCCTCTCTTCTTTTCCTCCAGACTCTGGGACCTTGATTTCCAAAGGAAATGCAAAATTTACTTTCATCAGAGAACATGACTTTGGACCACTCACCAGCAGCCCAGTCCTGTTTCTCTTTAGCCCAGGCAAGACGCTTCTGACGCTGTCTGTGGTTCAAGAGTGGCTTGACACAAGGAATGCGACAGCAGAAACCCATGTCTTTCATACGTCTGTGTGTGGTGGTTCTTGAAGCACTCACTCCAGCTGCAGTCCACTCTTTGTGAATCTCCCCCACATTTTTGAATGGGTTTTGTTTCACAATCCTCTCCAGGGTGCGGTTATCTCTCTTGCTTGTACACTTTTTTCGACCACATCTTTTCCTTCCCTTCGCCTCTCTATTAATGTGCTTGGACACTGAGCTCTGTGAACAGCCAGCCTCTTTAGCGATGACCTTTTGTGTCTTGCCCTCCTTGTGCAAGGTGTCGATGGTCGTCTTTTGGACAACTGTCAAGTCAGCAGTCTTCCCCATGATTGTGTAGCCTATAGAACTAGACTGAAAGACCATTTAAAGGCTTTTGCAGGTGGTTTGAGTTAATTAGCTGATTAGAGTGTGGCACCAGGGGCCATCAATTTTGAACCTTTTCACAATATTCTAATTTTCTGATATGATGAATTTGAGATTTTCATTTGTTGTCATTTGTAATCATCAAAATTAAACAAAATAAACATCTGAAATATATGAGTTTGTATGTAATGTATGAATATAATATACAAGTTTCACTTTTTAAATGGAATTACTGAAATCAATCTACTTTTTCATGATATTCTAATTTTACGACCAGCACCTGTACAAGAGATTGGCCTTTGAAGTCTTCTGGAATGATAATACGCTGAATTATTTTCTGGAAATTTTGTTTCAGCTCATAAGCAGCTACATAAACCTACCAGGCCTCAAACGTTAAGGATCCTCAGGATTTTTTTTCTATATGATAAATCAGTGATGATAAGTATTATAGAATACTTTATTCATTTACAATCTGCTTCATAATTAACAAACATATTTTAATTTTGCCTTAAATCATAATATCATAATTTGAAACCCATACATTGACAGCTTATGTCATGGTTCGACATTAATAGTGGTGATTAGGGGAAAAGTTGACAGACTGAAAAAGGTTTAGCTACTGAAGGTCTCTTAAGAAAGTAAAGCAAAAATTTGGTTTAATTGTACTTAATATGACTCGAAAAGAAAGAGCAAAATTAATCCCTTTCACAGAGTTGTTAGGGCAGAGAATATATAATCTAATATCTTTCAAAGAAGAGTTCAAGGATGCTGGTGAAGGTCAACATCAACTATTACATACCTGTTTACCCTCCAGAAGTCCAGGAGCAACACTTTAGGCCGAAATGACTTTTATTTTACATTAGCACAAACATAAATGCTCGTAATGCTCGCTAATCGGCCGAAGTTCAGGTGATTGGCTACGTCGCCAACCGACCATTCTAAAGACAAGCGATGGTAAGGAAAACGTTTTTCTCTTAGCGGTTGTCTCCTTCACTTGGTCCATTGGAGGTAGGAAGATGAAACAGACCTTCTAGGCCTAAATTAAAATAGCTTTTTTACATACAGCTACAATCATCCTAAGAACACTCCTGCTTTATCCTTTGTCAACATTCATTTCTCTATCTTCCATTTTGATAAATAAAAGCTTTGTCTCTGCTGCCTCCTTCACTAAAACAGTGGTCAATCAAATTATACTTTCTCATCTTCTACAATTCTGATACCTATTAATATGATGTCAAAATGACACAGCAGTATTAAATCATTTATGGATTTAGAAATCCATAAAAATAGAAAATCCCTTTATTGTCCCACAATGTGGAACCTGTGGTGACAATTTGATGTTATCAAGCAGGTGGCAGACACTGATTATTTTGACCGGCTCCCAAAATCCTGATGGATAAATCTTTGCTTCTAATGATCATAGTGTCAAAAATGTTTTATTCAAGACAGAAAATTACGCTCTAAATGAATTCAGATGTGAGAAAATTTTAAGAGAAACAAATAGTTTCTGACTGAGAACAGTCCTGAAGAAGGAGGGACCTAAATGCGAGATCTTTAACTGCCTCTGTGGGAAGTGAAAATCAGTCTGAGATGACAAACTTCCTCTACAAAACAAAATCCCTTTACTTTTCTGTTGAATTTGATTTACAATCACCCAGCATCCATTACAGCAGTTGAAATTTGGAACAAAGCATCTCGAAGAATGACTAAATTACTGTTTTATTCATGTTTTAACACACATTTGTTTTTCCAATGAGGTTTACCCATTTTGTAAGGGCATAAAAAAAAATCCACATGTGGTCTTCTGTTGTAAAAATGCTTCTAAGTTACCAGACAATTTGGCAGCAAATACCGTAAAGAAGTAGTTAACGAAGAAGACCAAGATAGGCTGAAATAGACAGATTGGATTTCAAAAGTATCAACTTTACACAAAGCAAAATTGCAAAATTATTTGCCATAACTGCTAAAAATGAGCACCGAGTGGACGGACTGATGATGGGTCCAGTAGACCTCGTTGGACTTAACATGACTGCATGATCCAAGGCAGGTTAATAACTGCTATTCAAGGTTGATGTGTTCTGTAGCAAACACAGCAGTGGAACAGTGGATCCACATGTCAGCTGTGTGACTGCTGCACTGCAGTGTCTCATAACTGAGCTTATACAGTAAAAATAGGTTGTTTACAAGAGGAATGCATAGAGTTATTGGAGAACAATTAAATAAAAAAATCACCCCAAAAAATCTGCAAAAGTGTATTTCATAAATATGTTTCACCCTGCATCCCAGTTAGCATCCTTCAGGATTTGTGAACTGACTGACTGATATTCTGTCCCAAAATTTTAAAGTTGGATTCTTAGTGGCTGTTATTCAGATGTTCTGGGTTGTGTTCTTTCCATCCTTGTAATAATTTCTTCTAAGCATTTCCTAAAGTCAAGTTGAAGTAAATTTTTTATCAGAAAGTCAACAATTTTATCATATAATACTTTCTACAGTATATACCTGGCAAACCAAGCTTATTCATTGAGAATAAATCCATTCTTGTCACATAAGGCTTTTCAGCATCTATGCCTGAGTGTCACGTCATAAAAAATACTCAAAATGAAAGAACCTATGCATGGATACTTGTATTGCAGTGTTTGACTGCAGTGCACATTTCAAATACAAGACCTTATTGAAGGAAACAAACTACCCAGGGTCCATTGGGAATCCAACTAGAGAGAAAGAAAGGAACACAGAGTGCTGGAAAGCTGAAAGAAAAAATGTTTCAAAGGCGTTTGAGCTCCATAGCAGAGAGAGCAGGTTCATGAACTCATCATGAAGGGCCTGCTCATAAATCAGAAGCCCTCAGGGGCTTCTCTCTGCCATCAAAAGATACCCCGAAGGCACCTCAAAGCCATTTTTATTTTTCTGACTGACGGTGGAAAAAAGCATTTCCCCATACCTCCACGGAGATCCGCAGAAGCCGCCACATAGGCGAAGGTGTCCATGTTGATGATATCGATGACTGGGCTAACCACACGGGTGGGATCCTGGGAGCAAAAGGGAAAAACAAAAAGAATTTTCATACAAACTTATGGATTCAAGGGCCAAACAGAAGAAAAAAAAACTGACTGAATGAGAAAGAAATGCATTTTACATTAGTGACAGAAACTACATCAGCATTTCTGTATGTAGATCCTCCATCTCCGCTTCAGTAAATGACATTTCCAGTTCAGCGTGTGTTCATCTGTCTGTGAAAGTAACTCTATACTTCAAGGTCATCATAATGCACACACTGCAAGGAATTTCTGTCATTTGGTGGCAATCATGCAGGGAGCAAAGTGACTGAGGTGAGAGTGACCGCTATTTATCTCCTTTTCAGTTCAGCTTCATTATATTCACTTGACTGGCATTAATGTCAGATTGCTGATGAGGAAAGGTGGAATGCAGAAATAAAACTTTTAAAAAACTAAGCTCCAAAGACAGTGACACAATTAGTGTGTTGAGACAAGCCCTTTAGCACAATTCCCTACCAATGTTGAAGACATAAAGACGTAAAAGTAAAAATGTATTGCCAAAGAGCATGAAGCTCATTTCAAAATATCTAAACTTAATTTTCTGTTGCAGCACAAGAATGTTGAGATTATATGTCGCTAACATTCTTATGCATATTAGTAGCTAATGGTATTTTTTTATGAAGCTTTGAAGCTAAATTAGCCATCAACTTTTTAGCTGTTGTTTAACCTGGGAACACTCAGAATCACAATCAGACATACTTTAATAATCCCAGAGGGAAATTACTTGTGTTACATGCTCCAGGTACAAACATTTATATATATATTAGGGCTGTCAAACAATTAAAAATTTTAATCTAATTAATCACAAGTTTCTTGAATTAATTTCGATTAATCACTAGCCTAAATATTATTAAAAAATACACATTTTCTGTGTACTTTTTTCAAAACAGAAAGATAAGCAAGATGGGTATTACATTTAGTTTTTATTAATGACAAATCCAAAAAAAGAATTTAATTCTCAACAATTTTGGCAACTTAGCCATTGCTTTTTTTTTTAAGCAAATACAGGATGGGTGAATGGAACGTTTTTCGTTTAAAACAAACAACTTGACTTTTAAACAATTACATGAGGACATTTTACCTATAATTTATTCATCTTTTAGCCAGTTGTTAAGGCAAACTAACTGGTTAACATTATCTGAATGTAAAGCAGACCGTTACTTATTGCCCTGCGTTCGGTGAGGGTGGTCTGACGCATGCCAGTTGTAACACCTGAAGTTGAAGCCCCAACAAATGAATGCTTGGCATTAAGATGATATTTAAGGCTCGAGGTGCTTCGGTGAAACGAAAAGTCCGTCTTGCAGTGTGAGCAAACCACAACATGTTTATTTATTGTCCCGTCTTTGCTTTTTTTATACTCAAACTGTCCATCCAGCGGGCCAACGGGTTCTTCTGATTCCTCCATCTCGCTCATGTCAGACAATTGAATTGTGGGTAAAACAGCGCGGGACATGAAAATCTAAAACCATACAGAATCTGTATTAATGGAGCTGTTGACACATTTCCCTGCATGGTCATAAGGCTGCATGCTTAATTCCAGGGTTATAGCTGCATACTTTATAGATAAGGTGAAAAACAGGAGCGGAGCTCCAACACGTATCAGGACAGACCTCGGTATAGAGAACTGTTCAGTGGAACAGATGCAGGTATTTTTAAGAAGTAATCATGAAGACCAGTTCTCCGAGAAATGCTTCATTACTGCCTCAAGTAAGCATAACCAAATATATAGACAACAACTCATAATTACAAGTTAATATCTCATAATTACGAGATACTATTGTCACAATTATGAGATTAGCTGAGTGTCTGTATATACAGTACGTATATGCATTTTAATAACCTTGCTCTTTAACATGTTGTTGTCAGATTTTAAAGTAAGCGCTACTAACAAAGCCACACTTTTTTAGTCCACATATTTCCACCAATGATGGTAATGAATCCTCTTTACAAGAATGAAAATATACATTTTCTATCCCCCTTTCACTAACACAGCCAGACGTGGGCCCCCGGTTAAATCATGTGGTGTCCCTCTATTAGTTTGGTCAAACGGCTGGATGCGCCTTCAGCCAGTGATATTATAGAGCAGGTGGAGCGGTTCTGGACCATTAGCTGCTGGGTCAGTGCAAGGGGACGTGGGCAGCATCCAGCCGTAGCTCCAGCCACATCAAAAAGCTCCGCGGCTGCCTTAATAGCTGTTAGGGTAATGACACTGTGGAGCACTCAGGGAGAAGCATTCATGACATTAGTGTTGTAATTGGATGACTCTTATTTTCTAATCACTCTGGAGCAGTTTCTTAATTTTTTTTCATATCGGTTTTTTCCACTTAATTTAAAATGAAAACGTCTGATGTGTCAGCTGAGAGCATTTTGACCCAAAAACCATCAGCATCATCTTCATCATCACCTCCATCATTAATTATCACATCTCTCTCCAGTGTCACCTCCAGTTTAATAGCATTTGGCTCAAATTTTCCCATAGCTTGCTCCCTTTATACATCATGTTTTGGGTTTTCGGATTCAATCATAAAGCTAAAATGATACAGTTTGTTTCCCCCTATTTTTGCTTTTCACTCTGGTTGATACCGGTATTTGTAAAAAATACCTTTGAGAGAAGAAAAGTTTATTTTTAAAGCATTTCAACTGATCCGCTAGAAGATCCACTTGCGAACTGGTGTTCTAACAGCTGACAGGCTGGATATAATCCTCCAAACTTTGCTTATCCAGCTTTATTCTCTAAAATCTAAAGGAGCAGAAATGTCTAATTTATGCATTCTTTAATTTTCTTCAACTTCATTAAAAATATTTTAAACAGATATATGTTGGGAAGTATTTAAAAAAAATCTTAAGTGGCTCTAAATGTAGCATAAAGAAGCATGTGCTGACCTGAGTTGCACTACTTTTGTCATGATGTTGCCATTTCATTAGTCTTTTCCCTATAATGAAAATGGGGTCTCCTGCACTGTCAGGACCCGAAGTTGTATTCGAAGCCTTCAGGAATAGAGCGCAGAGCTTGTTTGCTGCCAGATTAGAGCTTATTACAGTGTTAAACTGAGCAGTTTAAATTATACAGTAAGCAAAAACCCTCATAGTACGGCCATCCTCCGTTATCGTCTAGATGCCTTATAGACCAAATGCCCTTTTCCATCAAGTGAACCAAATACAGAGACTTATTTCTAAGTAGCACATATCTGTTATTCCATATAGGAGTTTGGTCGGGAGAATAGTAGTAGCCATTAAAAATGTCCCCACTACTAAAATATTCTTTCTGTTATTATTTGTGGACATTAATATCTTAAGAGAAGCGCAATCTCTCGGACAGACCCTGTAATTCAATGATAAGTTGGAGTCAGAGTAAAAAAATATGCACGCCCAGGAGAAGGAGAAGGTCACTCCAGTGGCTGGAAGTTGGAGGGGATTTTGCTGGAAGTTGCAGGGAAGCTGGCTGCCATTCGGCTGGTGTTTGACTGGGAAGGGCCATTTTAATTAGCTGCTACTGTATAATTGTGCATATACATAAGTTTCCCACAACACATGTTTGTGAAAGGAAGCTAGATTCATGGGAAGTTTATCGATCCTAGCTTGTACTTTAGAAAGGCTTCAAATCAATTTCACTTTTACTTTGAAAGTCTTCGAATAAACCTCCGTTTCTAACTGTGCAGGAGACCTCACTGTGTAGCACTGGGTCCAGGTCTGCAGCCCTCTCAATCTTTTCACTGAGTGCCTCATGGTTTGCTGCTCTATAACCTCAAGTGGTCAAATAATTACAAGTCAAAGTCAGAAAACATGACTGCTTGTCCTGCTGTTGGAGCAACTTAAAGATTTAAATGTGTCAATCTTCAGCAGTGCAGGCAGAACATGTGCGTGCCATAGCATGAGACTGAATACCATTTTGACAACATTGTTGCAAACTTTGGGGATACATCTCATTAAATTTGAATAAGCAAAGCAATGAGGCTGGTTTGTTTTTTTAGAAAATAACAATCTTTCGTCAGGTATGAAACAAAGTTTTATTGGTTTAATGTAATATTTAAATCTAAGAAAAACAATGTCTGATTTTTTTGAGTTTGTGTTTAGTTTTTGTTTGTAATTCATCTAAATAATGTCACTTTGTGAACCAATTTAGCGAAATAACTAACCTGTTCCAGCTGAAAATCAGTCAGTATTACAAAAAATGGGAAAATCATAACTGAAATATCTAAAATAATATGGTAGTAAAGTTGTTCTGGCAGGAAGGATGAAGCCGTGTAATCACTTCATTATTCAAAACCCTCAGAGTCTGATCTTTAAATCCAAATCCACACCAAACTATTGGAAGCTCAGATTCAGGAGGGATTTCAGCGCTTTATCAAAAAGACAGACAATTATTTTAAGGGTGATAGGATTTTAAGAGCGGTCTGGGTTTTTGCTGTGTGTGTTGGCCTGGATCAATACTTCATACATTTAAATCTAAATATATGACTATAAAGTGACCTGTACAGACAGTGACAAATGACCTGTTGTGCATTAAAAAGCAGGTACACAAGCTGCACGAATGAATAACGATGATGTTGGCACCGCAGCTCGAACAGATCTGACTCTCAGGTGGATTTACTTATCGATCTGAGCTCCACACAGCGAGATCAAGGGTCTTTAACACCAACAAAGCATCTGCTGACATGATGAATTGCTGGAATAAAAGGAAAAGAACTCGGGAAATGAGAGGACTCTGAGCTTAAGGTGAAGAACTTGAGACCATGTACGTGAATATAGTAAAAGTGCATAAAAGTTCTCAAAAAAAATAGTAGCAAAGAGAATGAAATTAGGATGGAGAGGAAAAAAATGGGAGGTGTTAAGGATGCTCCATCCTCCAGGAGTTCCATAAAGAAGATTTTTTTATGAAATTAAAGCAGATGAAACTAAAACTGTTCAAGCTGAGGATAAAGCATAGCGACAGATTAAACATTTTTTTTTATCTTAAATGCAAAAACATATATTTTATTTACACTTTTAATTATAATAACTGCACTCAGTGGGTTGCTCTGTCAGCTAAAGGCATACTTTGGAGTTTCTATACATGAATGACGGTTGTTTTAATAGTTGATTAATCCTGATTAATCCGATTGTTTCAGCCTTAGTACTCACTTTTTCTTCTCGTTCTTAACACATCATCAACAATTTCTATAACTTTTCTCCTCCTTTTAGGATTCAGACATTGTTACAGCAAAATAAGTGAACAGTCACATGGGGAATAGTTTAAAGGCGTGAAGAAATAATGAGAACTTTTTTGACTTCTAAGTAAGATAAATAACTTTTCTGCCTTTGTGATACTGTGTTTTCTTCTAGGGATGATGTAAGCTACAGCTGAGCTTTTCATGAGGAAAACAAGAACAAAATTTTCAGTTCCTGCAGCTTATGTAAGAAGCTTTAGACTCCAGTCATTTTCGATGTGTTCCCATGTCATCACACCTGATTCACATTATTAGATTATCAGCCAGTCAAAGTAACAGTTTAGAGCTTAATGAGGATCATTTGGATGTTTGATACACAGCAAAAAATGACTGAGCAGGAGCCTTTATGAATGAACTTTTAGATCCTGATGAAGGGAAAATAAATCCCTTCAGGCACATATATACATGGCTCTCAACTACGGAAGAGGATTAGGGCCAGTGGAAAAAAAAACAAAAACTTAACTGATTTTTACATTTTATTTCTGTTTAGTATGGGAAAAAAGTCCGAATTCTGAATTTAATCTCAGAATTCTGACTTTTGTTCTCAGAATTCTGACTGAATTCTGACAATAAAAAAGTCAGAATTCTGACATTAAAGTCAGAATTCTGAGATGAAAGTCAGAATTCTGAGATGAAAGTCAGAATTCTGAGAAAAAAGTACGAATTCTGAGAAAAAAGTCAGAATTCGGAGAAAAAAGTACGAATTCTGAGATTAAAGTCAGAATTCTGAAAAAAAAGTCAGAATTCTGAGATTAAAGTCAGAATGACATTAAAGTCAGAATTCTGAGATGAAAGTCAGAATTCTGAGAAAAAAGTACGAATTCTGAGAAAAAAGTCAGAATTCGGAGAAAAAAGTACGAATTCTGAGATTAAAGTCAGAATTCTGAGAAAAAAGTCAGAATTCTGAGATTAAAGTCAGAATGACATTAAAGTCAGAATTCTGAGAAAAAAGTCTGAATTCTGAGAAAAAAGTACGAATTCGGAGAAAAAAGTCAGAATTCTGAGAAAAAAGTACGAATTCTGAGATTTAAGTCAGAATTCTGAGAAAAAAGTCTGAATTCCGACATTTAAGTCAGAATTCCTTTTTTTCCCATGTTAAACTGAAATAAAATTAAAAAATCAGTTAACTTTTTTTTTTTTTCCAGTGGCCCTAATCCTCTTCCATACTCAACCCTTCATATAAAAAAAACAACAAAAAAATAATAATAATAATTATACCGTTTCCACTGTTGATCTAAGGATTCAAGGAATAAAAAGAATGTATATCCATATATTTTGAATATTTTAAACAATTTAGGAAAAGCAGGAGAGAATTGGTCTGAAAATAAAAACATTTTTAAAATATGAGGGTGTGAAGGTGAAGTGTTTGGTGAAAAGCAGACAAAAGCAGACATGGTTGATGCTAACAGCTGAAGTCTGGTGATAAGGGGAAGAAAACAACTGGAGTCGAACAGAGCAGAGACGACTGAAGTGACAGGAAAGGTGGCAAAGGAGAAAGAAAAGGTGTAAAACTGAGGAAGCAGTGACAAAGAACCAGACAGATAACAGAGGAAAGGGCAGTTAAAGGGAGACGGCGTGTTCTGGAAAAAAGCTACAATGAAGAGGAAGAAGGAGACACAAATAAAGGAGCATGGATGAGTGAGTGTGGTGAAAGAGAAAATGCAGCACTTTTTTTTAACGAGGTGCAATCAAAGAAACGCTATTTTCACAATGAAGTGATTCCGTTTCAACCACCAGAGCAATCAGAAAGTCAGAAGCATAGTTTAAGTAACTCTGCAGATGTTTTTGAAGTTCGTGGTGATGGACGGGTTTCAGACAAGGTTTGAACTTCAATAAAATATTTTGGAGGCATGCAAAGCTTTGCAACAGCATTGCTTAGTGTGAGTGTTCTCACAGCCTACCTGTTTGATCCTCTGCAGCAGGGGGGGCAGCCAGTCTTTGTTGACCTCGCAGTGGCTGTCCAGGAAGGTCAGGACTTTGGCTCTGGCTGCATCAGCCCCCCGTACTCTGGACCGGATCAGGCCTGACACAGAAACACATAAAAACATCTCATCTCTCAAAGCTGCTTCATAAGGTGTTAACCCGAGTTCCTGAGATCTGTCTTTCCAATTGTGAATTATTCTCAGCCTGAAAACTGTTTTCATTTTGCCTTCTTTTTTTGTAATATACAACTTTTAAACAACACAAGTTTATTCATATTTGTTATGAATAAACCAAACCATATTTGCTCTTTAAAGGTTATAGCTACACTTTTTTTTTTGTCATTAATAAAAAAAAGAAATACCTACATTGAACAACTAGTATTAATTTTAATGAAATATATATACAAATGATTGTTTGAGTTTGAATGGGACCAAAATATATCGATGTTAAGTTATCAGTAGATCAGTGGGAGAGCTTAAAAATGGGTTCTTCTCATTTCAGAGGTTATCATAAGAATTCACAGTCGCATTAACGGCCAGTGTAACACTTGCTGCTCAAGGGAAATAAAACCTTAGCTAAATGTTAGAAAATGCATGCTGTGCTACTGAAGCACCAACTCCAATATATATGCTGAAGCATTATGCACATATTAAGGTTTAAAGAAGCATAACACAAGTTCCAGGGGTTTTGCAGAAGTGTGCCCCCGCTGGTGACAAGTTTAAATGACACCTGTGTTGTGCACACAGGGGGAAAAAGGAAAAGCTACCCAGTCTGTAGCTAGGGCTGCAAGGGTCTCTTATTAGAGGCGTCTTCTGTAGGTAAAATGTTAGAACTATAGAAGCTATTTTGAAGAGATAATCAACTGTTCATTGCAGATCTAAGTTCCCTTCATTTGGTGAAAATCGGCCAAATATTTACTCACGTTTTAATACGTTGATGATCAGACTCCACTTTGGCCTGTTTTGTCGTAAAAGGCAAACATTTGAATCTCTTACTCTTGATGAGTCTGTGATTAGGTTTGAGGTACACCTGCAGCTGGTCTTTTATGATCCAGCTTCAGAAACAGTCGGCCATGTTAACTCGCTAATGGGTGTGGCACACCGGGCTCAAATAATTTGTCTCCAACAAATGTGATCAGTTATGAAGCATTAGAAATGTTAACATTTTCAACCTGACAGATCAGGCAGCAATGATGAAGAGTCAGAAGATTTTGCTAAAACTGGCTCAAGTCAGATATTTTCCTCCATGTTGAAAGCACTTGCAGCCTGCAGTGTTGCAATTCACTGGAAAAACAAGCTAGAAATAAGTAAAAAGATTCTTAAATTAAATGTATTTACCCTTAATTTGAGCAGGTAAATGAGATAGTTTGCCAATGGAATTAGTATTTTTACTCTTGAAATAAGACAATGCAACCGTGTTTTCTTATTTTAAGTGTAAATTGTCTTGTTCCATTGGCAAAAGGTCTCTTTTACCTCCTAAATCCAAGAACAAATGCACTTGTTTTAAGAAAAATGGACTTATCTAGATTTTTATTTTTTCCAGTGAAACTGTCTGTTAATTCCTAATCAAACAGTGAAACCCTCTGATTGGTTTTGCAAAATGACAAAAAATGAAAATGTTTTAAATTTCCTGTCACGCTGCGCAAGCTCAGGCTGTATCCGTAAGTCTGCCCTTATCACTATATAGGGCACTATATGGTGGTCACGCCATTATAGATGAGTGTCCGAACGTCTAGTGGGAGAAAAAGCAGAGAACTAGAAATTTCCCATAATGCACCTTTGTCACATGTTTATCAGGAGGCCAAGCAGCTTGGAGGTGGGACCCAAACCGGTTGAAAGAAGAACACGCTCCGAAGAGTTTTCAGTTAACAAGTCTTTAATTTTTTCCTGTTGCAGCACATCAACCAAACCACACCAACAACCAAGACATGTTTCTTATATAGAGGTGGAACTAAATTGGAAGAAAGTATTTTTAAAAGGATGTGCAGCTGCAAAAAAACAAGAAAAAAAAAAAGAAAATTAGTTTTAAATGAACAGCTAATTAAGAAATATTTTACTATTATTATTTAACAAATATTTCAATTCAACCCAAACAAAAGTTTAATATAAAAAAAAGCCATACATGAGATCAATCTCCCTTATTCAATTCTGCAATGGTGCAGTCCTGTGCACACCTGCTTGGAGAGTGAAACAGCAGAGGTGATTATTTCACAATGAGCTTTGATATTTTAACTATTCAATTCATGGGTGTCAGGACTCCTGTCTGTGTGTTTGTTTTTTTGTGTTGTTCTCCCTTCCACCAGCAGGAGGCGCCTGTTCCTGGTCCGCCTCCTCACACACCTGATGATGGTTACCTCGTTAACAGAGTGCTCTTAAGCTGCTGATCACCACTACCTCGACGCCAGTGTTGGGATCTGGAGTTCTGCCACCTTTCTCCAGCAGAGGGCGTCCTGGGTCTCCTGAGCTGAGCCACCTGCACACCTGAGGCTCATCCTCTCATCAGGAAACCAACTACTTAAGCAGCGGCCAGACCTGTCTTCAGTGCCAGAGTGTTGCCAGTTATGGTTAGCAGAACCTGAGCCAAGCCTGCTGATCTGATACTCTGAAGAGTAATTTAATCCTAACCTGTTTTTGTCTTCTCTGCTTCCTAGACCTGCCTGCCTGCCCTGACAGCCAAACCTGAAGAACCTCAAGCTGAGTCTGTTCCAGTTCTCAGGAGAGAACCTTGGCTGACCATTCAAAGTCTGAGCTCAAGTCTGAAGTCAAGCTCTGCCGCTGCTAGCTCTCTGCTGAACCCTCAAACTCTGGACCCAACTGGTTCCCTCTCTCACTGCGTCAATCTGAATCTCTCCAGGTACAGATCAGTATCTGACTGTGTCAAGATTTCCCAGACCTCTGGCTAACCTAACTATCCCCTCTCTACAGAGAAACCCTTGTGAAGTCATCCCGGACCAGAATCAGTATCTGTGATTTATTTTGTGTGATTCAAAATAAACTGTTGAACTTTTTACCCCTTTCTCCGTGGTATGCTTGCATTTGGGTTTGATCCCCATACCCAACATGACAGCCAGAGTGTTTGCCAGTTTTGGGTACTCTAGCCAAGCTGAGTTTTGCTGAGTAAAACTGAGTTTTTGTCTTTGCCTCTCGGCAGGAAGTCATCCTGCAAACTGGACCTTTTAGGACCTTCTCTTCCTGGAGGAATCAACTGAGCCTCAAACCGAGCTGGGGATTCAAACTGGAGGTTTGGATCTTGTTTCCATGAGAGGATGTTGAGTTTACTCTCTGAGCAAGGGAATTATCTCCACTACGACCCGTTCAAGTACAGCAGGAAATCTGAGTGGCAGCCAGTTTCTCCATTCACCAATAACCATCCGAGTTCTGGGTAAACCCTGTTCCGCCCTCCACCGCATCAGAATAACACTGGAAAACAACACACAGATTGGAGTTAAAGATTCTACAACTTCTCTGGAAACGTGAGTCAACAACCAGATCCTCTTCTCCAAATCCACGAATGAAATTTCCCACTGAGCCTGAAATAATCGTTTGTCTTCCCTTCACCTTCCAGTTCCGGTCGAGCCGAGTTCAGAGCAACCCTGCACCATGCCTTATCTCTTCAATAAACCAGTTAAACCTTTCCCATGGTGTCTCTCTGAATTGGTTTCTCTGCATGTGGGTCCGAGCTTTAGATAAAACCATGACAATGCTTTGTCCTTTTAGGAAGAGTTAAACAAAAAACAATATATTGTAAAGTGAAATCAATTTACCTTTTTACTAAAATGAAAATAAGATGTGGCCAACCAAAGAAAACACACCTCAAAAAAATCCATTGCACCCAAAACAACAAAAATAAACCAATCTACAAAACCAGATGCTGTGTTTAACTGTTATTTTAGCCAATATACAGGTAACAATGGCTCATTGGTACAACCTTGAACTGTAGTGATCATTCATGGTCACTAGACGAGCAAATATTTCCTGATGATGGCAAGGAGAACTGTCGCCATAAGATGTCGCTACCTGATAGAGGCGACAAATAACAAAGATGGTGTAGGCACCATGCGGGGAGGCGGAGTCACGTGACCAATGAGGAGTGAAAAGTAGTGATCATCTTTTCGAACGGTCAGTTAACTGAGTTTACCATAAAGTCCACTACATAGTCCCCTGTCTCTATAGTGACTGAGTGGTTTAGGGGTTAGGGCAGACGTTCGGACATCAGCCTACATGTGCACATCAGCGTGTACGACCTGGCTGGAGGATGGCAAGCAACTGTGACCTCATCACACAAGTTCAATAGGAAATAACAGGCGAGTAAGGTCGCCAACACGATGCGTCAGAATTAACAAAGTAGTCAGGAATGAAGCCGTGCGGCCATCATGCCCAGAGAATCGGGGCTGAATCACTCTTTGATGAACTGACTAATGGATCCTATAAAGCCAAACTTATTTTACACGTCACATAATTTAACGGCATATATGCGTAAGAAGAAATAGATTTAATTCATGCATAATGCACCTTTAAAAAAGCATAATCTTTGCAGTGTTAGGAATGGAACCATCAGCTTTGGAGCCGTTAGTGCCTTGCTGTGCGAATCGACATCCGGTCCCTCCCTCTCACGCTGTAGCTCACCTCCTTGCTCTTACAGACAGTCAGCAGAGGGGAAAATCGATGCAGGGCTCTTAGAGGAGCTGTCAGACATGGAGACAACCTTTTAACGGCCGCATCACACTCTGCATGTACGTGTCAGGGTTTGTCTAGCAGGAATGAAACACTTTTAAAGGACGGAGACAAAAAAGTACAGAAGCAGGAGAGTCGATGGAGGCAAATGTGTGCGTTGGGTGAGTTTAGGTCGTTTTGGAAATGTGTGTTTGAGTGTAAATGAGCTAGTTAGGGAGGTCTCCCTGATGGGGGCCAGTGGTCTCTCCTCTATTTGGTGTAAATGGTCTAATCAATACTCCCTGACACGTAGATATATCCTGCGTGAATGTGTCTATTCATGCAGCGTGTACGCGTGTGCACGGACGAGCGTGCGCGGCGTCGAGGGTCCGTTGTGTTCCTGTGTGTCGGTGACATTGTACAAGAGGCCGTGAAGTTCCACGCAGAGCAGTTAGGCCGAGGCTCAGCCAATTAAAAATCCCATTTCATCCTCAATAAGGCTTTATTTTCTGGATGGATGGACCCACACTCATTAATGGGAGCCACACACAAAGGCGCACAAACACCGATGGAGGAACAAAGCCGCCGCAGTAGGCCGGTGTTTACTTAGATGCACATAAACACATTCAGAAGCGACTGACCTGTGCAGAGATGATGTTTAATCTCTGTCAGTAATTTACAGCTGTTCACACTTCTCACAATGTGCCCATTCTTCTCTATTAACGGAACACTTTTTAGGTTGATGGTGATGCTGCTTGGAGGTTAATATTTCTACAGGATGTCATGAAGAAATGGATTCACTCTTATTTTCTTTTTGCATTCATAGGAAAGAGTCATTTGAGATGCACGCCTTTTTTAAATGACTCCAGGTTTCTGAAACAGCTTCTTCCCCTGCACCTTAAGAAAATGGAAATGTCATGAGAGCTGTGCAAAAAGAAATTTCGATTTGTATACACTCTGTGTATAAAAAATGACAATAAAAGTTATCTAAGTCCGCTATACTCTGTACTCAACAGGCCCAAGTTTCTTTCAGGATTGGCTGAAAGGACTATAGTCATAGAGCCTAAGCAAGAAGCTAATTAAATAGTTAAATAAAGCCAGTGTTTAGTACCTTTGGATGTACACTGCAAAAATAAAACAAGCACATCATTTTTTGTTTCAATAAGTAAAATGTTACATTGAGCAAATAAGTAAGACTATTTGCCATAGGAATAAGATCATTTATCTTTAAAATAATAAGAAAAAAACCCTCAATTTTCTTATTTCATAATAAAAATCATATTTACTTATTTTAAGGGTACTTGTAGTTATTTTGTTGGCAGGTCATGTTATTAACGAGCTCAAATTAAAGGAAAATGCACTTATTTTAGGAAATTTTTAATCATCTTTACAAAGTTTGGAAGTTTATATGAACATTTCTTTACAAAAAACATTTTCAGGGATGATTTCTTAACCAATCCATTGGAGGATCTCTTTCACGTGTTAAACACAAACAATAGAAGAGTAACCATCAAAAATATAAATATAGATTTTTGATGGTTACGTTCTACTTACAATCTTAAAAGGAAACATCTTTCTACTTACAATCTTAAACAGTGGAAAAATAAGGCGAATACTATTTAAATTTATTAGTTTAAAGGAATAGTACACCCAAAAACATGATTAGCCTTCATTTTCTACTCACCCCCATGCTGAACAACACTCTGGAGTACTTTTTTGATATCTCAAATGCATCTGGAGATCTGGGAGGCTTCTTGCTGTCTGCTGACATTCAAATAATGGAGGTCTATGGTGCCCGAGACAGAAAGGTCCATAAAAGTCCACAAAAAACGTGTCAATATTCCTCCATACTGCTCGTCCAATGTATTCCAAGTGTCCTGAGTGGGTAGCGTCCAGAATTTTCTCGAAACGAAGTCATTTAGAATGTTTTTAGAGCATAAACAGTAGTGTATAGGATTTCCTGAAAGCGCGCGCCTGCGCGTTCACGACGCTACGGAAGCCGGCAGACCAAACCAGATGAAAGTGCGCATTCAGCGTCTGCTCTGCCGATAATGCAAGCGTAGAAGAAGAAATGTGCTGTTTACCTGTGCAATGAAAGAAATAACGAAAGAAAAATGTTTGAGGACTTCAGTGGTGAGGAAGAGCAGGAGTTCTTTGCCGAGCTGAATGCGCACTTTCATCTGGTTTGGTCTGCCGCGGTTTCCGTAGACTCGTGAACTCGCAGGCGCGCGCTTTCAGGAAATCCTATACACTACTGTTTATGCTCTAAAAACATTCTAAATGACTTTGTTTCGAGTAAATTATGAACGCTACCCACTCAGGACACTTGGAATACATTGGACGAGCAGTATGGAGGAATACTGACACGTTTTTTGTGGACTTTTATGGACCTTTCTGCCTCGGGCGCCATAGACCTCCATTATTTGAATGTCAGCAGACAGCAAGAAGCCTCCCAGATCTCCAGATGCATTTGAGATATCAAAAAAGTACTCAAGAGTGTTGTTCAGCATGGAGGTGAGTAGAAAATTAAGGCTAATCATGTTTTGGGTGTACTATTCCTTTAACAAAAAGAATTTATCATTCAGGAGTTTGAAGAAAAGACATTTTTTGACCAATCTTGATTTCCTCTTAAATCTACCGCCTAGGATGTAGCAGTGGTATGGAAGCGCCGCAGAGTGGCTGCACTGTGCCTTCGCAGCTGATTGCATCAACTCCAGCCAGTCAGAGCTGTAATGCTACGGTTTCTGAAGGCTGGAGGTCAGTTGATGAAAAGCAAAGCAGATCAAGTTTACAAAATCCATGCAGAGTGTGGATTATGTTTTCTGGACTTTTAAGTAACAAGTTAATCAACAGCCAAACTAAATATGGCATTGATGTAAAACAAAATATTGGGACTAATTAACTTCTGAAGATTCAAAGAAAACAAGGTGGGGTGATTAAATAAACAATGAGGTGTTAGAACTGGCCAAATAGCCACTTTACTGGTTTCACTGGTTTTATTGAAAAGCCTACAAGTACGCTACTTCAGCATGATGATGTAATACTCCAGATTTCTACTTTAACATCCCCCTAATAAGCTCTGATTTAGACCCAGTTAGATAAAACAAGGAGTCCTTGTTGTACTAAAAACATTTAGTTTATCCAAAACTATAAACATGATGTCAGGAACTAAACAGAAGTTTTAGAAGGACGTAGTGAAGAGACGATCAAGGGCTTTGGCGATGAATTGATTTAATTGATTAATCAAGTTTTTTGTTTATGAAGATTTAATTTTTGGAAAATCAAGATTTATTTTTCCATCAATCCACTCCCTA